GGTAAACGATCACCAGCACGGAATCTACAACTTCGCATTAACACCACTTCCACGAATCACCTCAGCAAGGGAGCATACTTGGCTAGTGCAGATCCTGCTAAAGACATTCTTGTGGATTATCGATCCACGACGACGCATATTGGCTACCGGGCCTTCTAAAGAATTTGGAGAAATTATCGATTTGTCAAGTGCGTAGGATAAGGGGCCGAGATGTTCTATGATTAAAAGATTAATTTTCCAGCATAAAAAAACATTCAGAAGTTGGAAACAGAGGAGGACTTTCGAAGTGTGCCCCCCCCCAAAATATCATGTTTAATTATGTAGACTTTACCCAAGTTTAAAGTCGGTGTTTAAAATGACACCTAAAATTCGGAGCTTTATCAATCAAGTTTGACTACTTTGCATTAACCTTGTCATCGTTATGAAGGTAACGTTTCAAATCGTTAATTAGTGTGGTTTGTAGAGGTGCACATTGATTGACTAATCTCTGGCCTACTTTAGAGTTTTGCGTTTTTGCTTAAAAATCAATGTCTTGCTTCAGGAAATCAAAATGCGCATTTGCCGTGAAATATATAGATTTAAACAAGAAAGAAGACGAGCATCTTAGAAAAGGAACTAGTTTTGACAGGGTTAGATTTGTCGGAATTGACATATGGGCATCATGAAAGCTCTTGGCTTGTCTAGGAATCATTCTAACTTCACGCTTGGCTTTGTTGTGAGCCCCAGCATTTTTTCTTGAACCACGATGGGGCTACTTAGTTAATTTTGGTCCGATTACGCTCCCCTGATACTCGCAATGAAGAAAAAAAATACCATGGAAGATGTGGACGCAACCGTTTACTTCAGAGCTCAACCACGTTCGTGTCGTTGGCACTTGCGCGTGTGTATTTATACCTCAGATGTGTGTCAGACATCTGCTAACATCAAGACATGAGTGTGAGGATAATCCAGAAAAAATTTTCATGATACTGAGGATCCGCGCGGCTGGCGGCATACTGGGGGACCCTGTGTCGGAGGTCGAAGTGGTTGGATTAACGTTTGTGAATTAGCGCGATTCACAATACCTTAAGTAGTCAGATGTTTGTGCATCGCACTACTTTTAGTTAATTTCATTGGATGAATTTTAACTAAACCCCTATAAATCGTGGTGGACAATATTGCAAACTGTTCTGGCCACAAGAAACGATGTAAAAGTGCTAGAATGCATTTAACTGCGAGTTTCAGCAAACAGCCTCAGAAAGCTGGTCTTTTAGCAGGGTAAGGAAAAGAGATGGAAGTGATTCCAATGGTGCGCGCTAGTTGAAGAGTATTTTAAACAATTTAGTAGCAGTTATACCATGTGTTCATGCCAAAGTAGAATGTCCAAGAGGCGAACTACCTCAGGAAGTCCAAGGTTGGCGGCTACTCTAGAGCGCGACCTCCGACGTCTTGTCTTTCCGTCTGGCAATGCATTTGATGCTCAATCTGTTCACCTACAGCAGTGTCATCGTTCTTGTTGGAATGTTACGGTAAACGTGAGGTCATTGATTGAGCAGGCATGACAGACACCAATTTTACACAAACTGGACCATGTAAAAACAAAACTTTTCGTGTTGCAGGTCGCCAAAACAATAATAAACATTTGATTCATTTGAATTTAAGAGAATTTTACTCATTTTTTGCCAGGATAGTTGTTATTATATCACGTAATTTATTCTAAAACTGAGGATGTGAAAATGCACAAATTTCCAGATAATTCCACCCACGCTCCTTCAGGCGCAGGTCATTTCTGATTGAGCAAAATAAGCATCATTAAATGATGATCATCATTCTGAGCACTCATGACCTCTGCGTGTAAACACATCTGCTGAGATGAGTCTGTAGTCCTTGCTAAATGATATTTTGCATTTTCTAGAGTAGAATAGTTTAAGCGTTTGTTTGTATTTCTGTGGCACGTGACGTCACATGATGAGGTTTGCAAAACTAAAGTGACCTTGAAGTCGCCTTAATTTGGTCGATCCTGTTAAGATCAACAATAATACACTGAAGCTACATAAATCCTACAATTTCGCTATCGTTCAGGAATTTCACGTTACTACGTCACTTCGGCAAACTCGTCCACTTTCGTGTCTGTTTAATGAGTTTCACAGTTTATGACTCCACATGTTGGCTATGTTACAGGACAACAAATTTGTTTTTTTTTAAGATTAAAACAACATTGCCAATGTTATGAGAAACCTTCCTAAATCCGCTAGACATGTGGTATTTTGCGGACAACTTTGGTTTAATGTAATGTAATTTCATTTATTGTAAACACCATTTTGGCAAAGCTATTTCATGAAGAAGACATCCCACCTTTAGATGTCATGTTCAAACACTAGCAGTATGATTAAAGGTTATGCGCATGTTTTCTGATCTTCATTAACTGGAGTAAATTGATTGGTTGATAAGTTTGCATTTCACGATAAAGCTATTGATGATGGTTTTGTTTCCACCTGCCATCCAAAGCTGTTGTTATAACCTTGGAACCATTTGCGTAAGCCACTGTTTCCACCCTCAGAAATGCCTGCCTGCCAAATTGGCCAAAAAGCCATTTTTTTTCTTTAAAAAGTGCTACTTATATCCGTTGAACATTCTAGAAGCCGAAGTAAGGCTAGACTTCTTCAAGGTATCAAAACGCTTGAGTGATCTCGTAGCTGAATTTGCCATAGCATGCGGTCGTGATGTATTGGCCAACACTAACCTACACTACTAAACTAGTGATTAGTGGTCAAAATTGTCAAATAACATACTACTCAAAAATTAACAAGGACAGGAGTTCCTTCATAAATGCTTGCAATTCATCGATTCTAAGATAAAGTTCCATAAATCGTGTTCCAACTGCAAAGCGGTCGAAAGTTATTGGAATCTATTAGTCTCGTTGGCGAATGACTCCGGATTTCAAGCTAAAAATTTTCAAATATGTACTTTATTCTCCTTCTCAAATTGGCATTTGCATCCATTCAGTTTGATGTCTATTTCACCACTTCCTCCTCTCAGTTTAGCAAAAGTATTTTGTAAATTTAGCTGATCGTATTTTTTTAATACCACAAGAACATAATCGTGTGAATTTTAATGTCATTCAAACATAATAAGCATTATCACAAATCACTATCAATTTGCTAAATAGACTGAAAACTAGGACAATACTGATTGCTGAAATCAACTGAGACATTCTAAAATTTTAGAATCAACATCATCTCCAGAGTAAAAGAAACATAATGTATCTACCCAAGTTACAAATTAGGCTCATTTATCTAACAAAATAATATTCCAGCAATTCGAATGTTCGCATGAGGTTTGAAATGATTCCCTTACATACAGGCGTATAAAATGGTATCGAAACAGACAAACAAAGAATTTAAAACACCATTGTCTGGACAAAACGTTCGCATATGTAGAGTATGTTATGTAAAAAATCCAAAAAGTGATCCTTATATTATGGTTACTTAGAAATATGAAATACATCATCGATAGCTGAAATGTTGCACGCGATTTTATCCACTTTCGAAATCAGCAATCTAGATCTAACTTATGCTATTAACAGTTGATTAAATTATTTGAGGAATCCAATCGATCAATTTTAAACTATTTGACTTATTCTGTTTACTTCAAGTTATTGTTCTTAACTTAGTATAAGAGTTTTGCTCTCCTGGTTTGTTATAAACTAAATCCAAAATATTTTCCAGATACCGCTACAATAAATATTCATACAAATGCACTTTAAACTGTCTACGCACGATGGTATAGCCGAAGGTTGCGTTGAAAGGGTCACTAAACAGGTCCCTCACATTCGGAAATAGATCAAAAAGTAAAATCGTTGTAGATTTGCTGACTTTAGTAGTAAGCCTGGACAAAAACAATTTTCGCAATTTCAAACATGGATATTAGACCACCTTAAACATTTGGCCTCTTGCATTCATGCAATCAGGTAGCCTTAAGTCATCAAAAATTCCTCGAAAAATAACGTGATAACTTTTAATTTTATTCTTCCGAACAAGTTCGATAAATTTGGCAGGTTTGATTTGTTCTTCACCATACAAAACATGTCTGAAATAATTCATGGAATGCTTTATTGTCTTGTAGTTCGCACGACTTAAGTTGGAATAATGAAAAAAATCAAATTGCGTTTTTTTAGATATCTTAATAGATGCGTAGAGGAATAAAATTGATTTTAACTTCTACCATCACCCCTATTGTAGATCCATTGAAAAGTATTTGTTCATGTCGATGGAGGCCAAACAGGAGCAATGTCAATGGATGGCTTAGCCACTGTTCGGCAATTTGGCCTGAAAATTCACTATTGCATTTGAGGTCCCAGATGGCCGAGACCACCTCATTTGACTATCAAGAAACCATATTTGAGGGATTTATATGTCCATCCTGTTTAAAGTCATTTGGTAGACCAGAGCTACTAGAAGATCATTTCAGCAAGGAACATTTCCACATAAATTCAAATTACGAAAACTCAGTGAAATATGTAAAAGCTCCTCCATTAGGTAATCTGATTTCCTTTTCAAGTGTAATATGTATAATAATTTAGGTAACACTTAGTGTTAATTGATTACTTCTATCTCAGGAGCACGTACTAATTTGCCGAATTAAAATGCTCTCTAATGCTCCAAAACTAATGTGTTGTCTGAATCGGATGCGAATCGCAATGCATTTTCCTTGGGTATTTGGTGGTATTAGGTTCTATTTTGATGCTTACTAATGCATTGGCATTCTAAAAACTACAACATGGGTAAAGGTATCGACACGTATGTTCAAATTTCGCTGGTTTGATATCGATTGAGAGCCAAGTCACTGGCACTTGTTATTCTGTGCCTGTTCCCTGATCTTGTCCTCCATCAAATAAATATGAGATTTGGATTTTTTGAATCGTTTTGTCTATCTAAAACCCCATCTAACTGTTACAAAACTTTGCGAACTCAGAAGCGTGCATCGTCTTTTCTTCTGATTCAATCTAAGCATTCGCTTAGAGATGCTTCAAACGAATAGAACGGCCTGGTGCTGAGTTATCTTTTATTCGTTTAGGGAAAATCCGTTGTCGTACAGCCGAGTTCGGCAAGCTCCGACGCGTCCAAGTTGACAGAACAGCTCTGGAAACTAACCTTCTCCTAATCAGACTTGGGAAACTATCCAACATTCCTGATAATATTGATACCAACCAGCGTCATTGTAAGGTCAAGAAGTCTTTCTTATCTAGTTTGCTTTCGTAGCAATGGAACAGGCTATTGTACCGTGGATCGATGCGAAAATCAATCTCTGTCCCCGTTGTGGCGTGCCTTTTGGACTAAGCTGGCCCACCGGGGACGCGTCCGAGGACACAGCGCCGCCACTAACCTCACATTCCCTTCTGCTCTCCCCACCACCCACCTCCTTCTCTCGTCGGGCTCGTATAGGTCTGCGTTCGGCCTCACGTCTTGCCACCGCATTGATCGATAACAACCCAGTATATCGTCGGATGCATCATTGTCGACTGTGTGGTCACATAATCTGTGCAGATTGCTCCTACTTCCTTTCGAAACACGACGTAAGGCAAATTGTTGAGGCCTGTGACTGGGCTGCAGCCTCAGACTCAAAAAACACCATTCTCCCGCCAGATTTAATTCCTTCCATCAAGGACAACATTCTTAAGCGTGGAGTCAGTTACCTTTCCAGGTCATCTTCAGGCACCAGCTTGGACAGCATCGTGCAGAAAAGGTCGAATCGTAAGCACTTGTTTTGTCAATTTGTAATTTTTCTGTCGCTTGTTATTATTGGCTACTCTGGTTATTGTAGCGCCAGATCTACGCATTTGTGGGGTGTGTAAGTCTATTCTTGAGGCAAAAATGCAGCGGCTTGAGGAGGACAATGCTGTACCTCTTGGTTTTGAACAGTTTCAGGTAATTCAGTATTTTGTCTCTTTTTTTCCACTGAATGCTGACTTTACAATTCGTGTCGCTTCTCGTCATCCGTTTTTTCGTTTAAATAGGCCCTTAAACAAGAAATGGAGAATGTGGAGAAAAAAATGCCCCAATTTTCTTCAATGGCAGCCAGTTTAAAGTATGTCTAATTCCAATTCAAAACTTCTACGGCACATGTAAACCGACCCGCTCACCCCCTTCTCCACTGTTTAATTTTTTTAAGCTGCGGCGAAGAGCGATACATTCTGGAGGTTGCCAAGTCACTGCGATTGGAGATTCTTCAGAGTCTGCAAAAAATCGAAACAATTGGGTGAGTGGACCTCCTTACTCCCCCTCCCCAACCCCCTAGTCTTGCTAACTTGCGTATCCGGTGCGTGATTATTGTGTCTGCCAGGAAGGAGATTTCAAGCCTCGACGCGTCCAGCCAGCCCAAAGTGGTGGCGTCGCAGGCGCGCATAAACCGCACCGTGGGTCAGTTCGCGCGTCGATTCGTCCAAAACAACCTCCCACCGCTTCGAGTGCTTCCAACCGAGGAGGAGCATCGACGCCTGTCGGAAAGGCGCACCACCAACTTGGCCGTGGCATGCCAACGGGTGAGCACTCTGATTGCCTTGCCACACCGTCGACACAATGGTTCTGTGTTGTTTGTTTCGACTCCTTCCCACCGTTCCACTCCACTTCACCAAAACCTGGTCTGATTGTCAAAATAGTTCGTAGCGGACACAAATCACCTTCTTATGGAGACGATGTTAAGCGCTGACCTGCGATAACTCATGCGACACCCACGCGCCCATCCTATAAACCACTCCCAATCGATTTTTGATGGCGAAAACTAGTCTTAGCCTTGGTTTGGCGTGTCCATGGGGCTCCTATCGGCTTCACTCGCTTTTGCTCGCTCCGAAATGGCGCCTTCGTTGTAGTTTCTCAAATCGCCTCAGTACTTTTAGCTCTGGAATCGAACTCATGAAGCGTGTCGTTTTCTAGCGAATCGTGCATCGTTTGAGGCACCTTGTTGCTTTGATCCTTCAAGCAGTCTGCTTGTCCATTGCGTCCACTCCGTGTCATCGTCTTCGTAGTTTGAGCAAGTGCCCTCACTCTATCGACAGGTCACGTGGTCCAGATTGGTAAATGAGGTTTGTGGGTGCCACACGGTCCTCCTCATTCTTTTGAGGGTCCACGAAAGCGCACGCTCCTGACCCAGTAGGTTTGATTAACTTCGTCAGAATGGATTAGAACTGTGCGGTGATGAGGCTGACGTTGCCTGATAATGACGGAAAGCCAGTTCAAATAAGCTGAAGGTTTGTTTCGTACAAGTATCTGCGAAGATGTCAACCATAGAACTTCTGGTTGAATTGAAACGAGTGTGGTTAAACCTGAAGTAAAAGAACAATGTACCGATTTGAGCTCAGTGACGAGGCTTCTACGTAAGACATGTCAAGAGACACTCCTAGACCGTAATTGGGGGCAGTTGGGGACATCAGATCGTAATTTCGTCCGAACGTCACATCCACCTACAACTAACTTCTTATTTGTTGTAATCAGGTTTTGATCATCAATTTTTATCATCGTTAAAGGATCCAGCAAAGGAGCCTTCGCCCGCAACTGGTTGGATGCCCTCATCTAGCAGTCTCTTTTCGGCGGACGCTCCGATCCCCGAGAGGGAAGGCGAGAGTGATCCGCGCGCCGTTCTGCTGCGTCAAATAGACATCGTGGCGAACTACTTGGCCCAGGCGAAGGTCGCCAATCGATCGGACGACGAGATACACGACCTTGCGGAAAATCTTGCCGACCTTGAAAGTGAACTCGCTCGTATTAGCACATTACCGGCCAAATGACCACTACTCTTAATGATCTTTCTTTGTCTGCATTTCTGTTTGATTGTGCGCTTATTTTTTTCCTGCTTAAAGTCTTTCATTCTTCACTATTGATATTTATCCTTGATTGAACCCCGCGTTATCGATTGCCTAGTTGTCCTGAATAAGAGTGCTGCTCATCAGCTAGCAGTAGTTATTAATCATTTAATCGGATATTGTGTTTACAACGTTGGGTTGTCTTACAGTATTCCGTTACTAGGTAGGGAGTTGCCACAGACTTCGAGAATTGTGAGGTATGTTCTGGAAACAAGAGGTGTATTGAGGTAAAAGTCTACTGTTTCTTGTAAAAAAAGGAGAAAGCATTTTAAATATGGGCACATAGGATGACCTTGATTGAATATATAATTTTCAATTTGTCAAACTGAGTAAATATGCAACATTGCACTACATCTCAACAATACAGATGTACAATCTACAGTGTTAAATAAGACTAGGTGAGATTGGCAGACAAAGTTGTCTTTACGATTTAGTCTCATCGCCAAAATTATTGTTTAGCTCCTCAAACAACGTTATGTAACTTAACATGACAAAATCATCTAAATGTGTTAATAACCAACTCAAAATTTATGTTATTCATAAGGGCTGTAATTGATATATAAGCAGCTATCCATTAGGACTTGCAAGATGTGTAAGGTTACATGACTTGAAAATTCCCACTAATCGGTTTCGAATGCCACTTCGGTATTAGATTCTGGTTCTCACAACTTTGAAGACACATCCTGGAAAATTAAGGAAAATCAACGTCAAATAACTTTTTCCAAGGTGTTAGTAACTGTAGAAACAAATAACCAATTATTGAGATTTAAGTATTAATACTTAACATTAGTCTCTTTTTAATTGGTACATAAATATGTACTTAGTAATTGTATTTTTGTACTTTATTCACTCTGCTCAAACTAAACTACATGTTTAGAAAAAAATTATTGTGACAGGTATAAATGCATTGCAAAATCCATGTAAGATCCTAACTCGCTAAGAACATCATTGGCGCAAAGATTCTTCTTTGCACGCAAGCATTTAAAGACTCATGAATATGCATAAATGGATAAATTCTCTGGCCTGAAGCGAGGGTGACGTCTAACCCCAAGATTTCGTCGTGTATTTCGGCAGTCTGGCAGCACGTAACAAGATATTAGACCCAAAATATTTACAAAAAATGATAATAGAGCTTCATTTCAATAAGGCAGCGGGAACCGCGCATCTCAATTCCCATCCATCCTAGAACCGCACATCCCAGTCCACTCTTTCTCACTGGTTGGCTGCGCGTCATCGTAGCTTATTCATCTTGACCGACACAGGAGATTGGTTAAGCTCCGTGAGACAATATGTCTGCGCCCCTACGGCGCTGCATCCAAAATCAGCACTAGAGAATGGGCCGATTTAGGTAATTATTCTTCTTTTTGCGTAACTTTTGCTAGCTTCCTAAACTGTGTCTCATACAGGAAAAAACATAAAAGTAGAGGAACTATTATTGATAATAAGCGTTTGAATTCAGATTATGGTGCTGATGAACCGAACACTTCACCTAATTCGATTGCCGGCAAGGGCAACCAGAATGTGTGTACCAAAGAAACCTCTAATGTACTAACTAATAGTATTCAATTCAACAATTTTAATGGTGGTCTTGACGCTGGATCTTGCAGCCTCGTGAATGAAGCCATTGATGCTTCAAAAATTAACCTCCTTCCAAGTGATAGCTGCAGTGTTCTAATGAAACAATCGGTTGACCGTATCTCTAATTCCGACCATGCGGACATTTTTAAAAGACTTGATGCTGTTGTTGGGCGTCTTGAACGACTTCTCAATACTGAGGATCTGTGTATGGTTTTTTTTACTTGATATAATTCCCTAGTGAGTGATGACCATTCCGGGATCATAATGTTTAATGGCATTTTAAACGAAAATTTGTCGCATTACCTTGATGTCTGCTCTTTGGTCGGTGATCCTGCTCTTGAGCAGGCTAAACTGATAAAGGAATCTTTCCAGCTTTGTCTTGACATCATGCAGATGTCCCGCAAATACTCAAAACCATCTGCCACAGAGTTGGCTAAAATTATGCAACCACTTTCTTTTAAGTTGTGTGAAATTGCTGTAAGATCGATGGTATTTCCCTTGACCGGTGGCTGTAGGATGTCGCAGTTCGCAATCGATCTCACGCTCTATCTCGTGAACTTTCAACCATATCGGATTCCATAAGCATTCTCTCTTGGATCAACATGGTTAGTTTCCGCTTCCTTGTCTGTTTACTTTCGCGCCTATTCAGTCGTGCTCGGCTGTCTTTGTCAAAGACATCGAAAATGCCACTAAGGTCTCTGCGAATGCAACAACTCAAGCGTATCGTGAAACGTGAGTTATTAAAACGTGTCTCCAATATTTCATTTGTTCAATTTCTTGTATGTCGTGCCATTTTTTGACGCGGTTCTAAGATAATGTCTCAAAATCGCAACTCCATGATGCGTTTGTGTTGGGGCTTAACAGTTGAAAGTGTAGCATCATCCCGCCGCCACTGGAGTTACCGTGTCCCTTTTCTCCCTCCTTGACCAGAATGCCCCTATACGCCGAATGGATGCGGGCCTGGCTGCGCGTAATCTCCTCTCTGCGTGAGCTGGTGTGCGATTTCTACCCGGTGGGACTGATTTGGCAGGCACCTGGAACAGCTCCACCTCCTCCTGTGCCAACGCCCGCCGGCAACCTTGCGCCACTTCACACCGACGGCAACTTCGATGCTACTTCGCTCACCTCCACAAACTCTGCGGTCGGTGTTTTTTTATTTACTCATATTTTAACCGGTACAAGTGTATTAACTATCTCGCGAGCGTAGCCATGTTGAGAGATGAGTATGAAGGAAGAGGCCTTGCTATGAAGAAGATGTAGCTCCAACCGAAAAATTTTAAACTAGGTTTTCGAAGTGATAGCGCTGTCTAACCTAGATCGATAACTGATTGCCTTGAAAAGTATTCAGAACTGTGTGGTTCTTCATTTAGTGGCAATTGAACGGCCGAAGCACCTGATCAGAGTTATCTTGAATTTGAAGTCAGATTCTGTGGTTACGTGCTGCAGAATGGCGTGATGGCCTTACTCGACATGGTTGAAGCTGCTGTTGTTGATGACATTGACGACCTCGCAGTCGCTCTCGACCCACACAAATTTTGCGATCTGTTTCAGCTTCAGCCACATATTTCGTCAATAAAGCAACGAGGAGATACTTTTTTGTCTGGCCGTTTGTCAGGTAAATAGGTCGAAGCGGTTTAAACGAATGCAAGCAGCTGCGGCATGACGACCTTGCCTTTCGTACTTCCAAACGTATGAACTTTTCGAGTGACTACAACACGTGGCATCCATGATGCCACCCACATTCGCAGCACTCGATTTGGCTACATTCCTTGTGAATTCAGATAACTTTTTAAGTATTGCAGAGCCTCATACCCACCGCAGTAAACCTAGCTTAGCAAATTAATCGATAGGACTGAGGTATAGTGGGATTTTGTCATTTTTAGAGGCGAGAATGGCGGCGTCAGGATGGAGGAAAAGCCTTCAACAGGGATGCTCTGTTGGCAGACATATCGCGCACGCGCCTTTCACGTCTTAAACACGTCGAAGGCTTCTCCTACGACGCCTAGCTTGCACGAGCAAGCCTCACTTCGGCGTGGCGAATTCACGATGTACATATCATCGCTAGTTTTTTTTTCTTGTTATAACTCCTTCATTGCTTCTATTTGTTTTCTTCCAACTTTTTTGCATGTGAAAACGAACAATGAGACGTTAATTTCTTGCCCAAAAGGGGGCTCTAGTTGCTCCATTGTTTCAGAAGTCGGTCACGCATGGGTCATGCGACCACCCACACCCCGTATTCACCTGGGTCAGACTTTTCTCATACTAGATGAATCCAAACTCATGAGAGGTCGCGATATTTTGCACGCGAAACACATCGCGACTCATTGGAGTGCCCTACTCATCGAATGCCCAGCAAGCGATCGCCGACTCACCGGCATCGCTCAGAGCTCGCTAACAGGCCCAAACTCCCTCCCCTCCTTCCCAATACGAATGAAGAAGCAACGTAAAGTGAAAGTATCATTTTGTGTATTTACTACAAGCTTGTCGGCAAAAGGATGTGAGTTCGAGAAGGCGTGAGCGTAGGCGCTCAAGTCCTCTCTCCCAAATGCAAACTGGCGCTATCGAGAACACCCACACCCCTGGGGGCGCAATCTAGAGCTCGTGGTAAGGCGAAAAAGCACAAAAAACGCACGCACGAAAAGTATACAGAGCAAACAAAAAAAATGGCAAAAACGCTCCCGGCCCGGGTTAAATCCTGGCAGCCAGGGAGGAAGGAGAGAAGAGGTGTTGTGAGGAGTCGCTGACAACCCTCACGATGGCCGGTGCTGCGCTGTCCGCGGAGGACTCGTCCCACTGAAGTGTACCGTTGGGCTTAAAATGAGTTGAAAAATCGATTGAACTACAAACTTGTCTCATTCAAAGCCTTTGATTTTAAGGCACGATAACATTAAATCCGACGACTCAAAGTGGAGAAGGGGGCGGGTTATTCAGCCTTCCAATGCTTACCTCGCTTGAGTGTGCGTCAGCCTTCAAAGACGACGAACTTTCGTCACCGGAAGAGGCACTGCGGGCCTTAAAGGCGAATCAAAAAGAGTACAAGTAAGTGTCGGGCAAATTACTGAGCATGGACGCATTGCATTAACTGGTTTAAGTCAAAGCGGTAGCCAGAAGTGGTCAAGAGGCAGGGGGACAAGGCCACCATTGACAGGCGTTTTGCGAAATAGATAGAGGGCAGGAGATGTCTCATGCACACACCAATGCCAAAATCTGCCAGGAGCAAAAGATGTGCTGGGAGCTCAACTAACCTCGGAATCCTGGTGAAATAAGGCCAGTTCTTCCTTGAGACAAGCGTTCTCCGCTAACGCGGCGGCGAGACGACTACGCCAAGTGCCTTCCTCTTCCTCAATCGATCTCTGCAGTCGCGCTAACACGGACTCCGTCTGTATCAGGGTGGTCTAGAAAAGGAAGTGGTGATGATCGTTGGTGAACAGGAAAACGCAAAACGCTCGTTCACCTCTACATGGCACGTTCGGCAAGACTGTGACCACGGCTCAGCACCGAAATGCCATTCCACGTTGCCCACACAGCGGCGCCGTGTTTAAAGCTGCGTGTGCCGATCGGTGCAGGCGAAATTAATGGCCTCTCAGGGTAGCCGGGTTTTCTACCGGGGCGAGTGCTAAATGTAGCAACAGCGTGTTTAATTTAAGAGGCTTTGCTTCGAAAAATTGCTCCCCACAAACCAGAACAGCTGGTCTTTGGCATGTTGATAAACCTACGCCTAAATTCGGCTTTCAGAAGAGCTCGTCTGTATTTAATTAAAAGTAAATCGGATATTGGGAACTAAGCATGAAATTTTCATACGAAATAACAAGACGACAGCACCGTAGCCTGTAAACGGTGGGAATGTGCATCACGGTAATTGGTCGGCGCACGTCTGTGGGGTAGGGCCACATGCACACGCATTTGGTTACCATGACAACCACAAGAGGATCACCATGCCGTTGTGGTGTTGGGGCGTTATGAGGCATGGTCTGGAAGAAGCCGCTTCTGACGGATGATAAAAGACAACACCACGAGTTTTCACAAAATGCGCGACGCAAGTAATTATGGAGCAGACGGATTAGAAGTTACTGTGACGAAAGCTTGTTTAATAAGGGAGCTTTCAAAACTGACTAGAAAACGCGATAAACTGCGTCAGCACTGGAGGTAGTAAGCACTTCCAGACATGACGAGAACACTAACATGCCAATTAGGCCGATTAGAGATAAGGAATTTGGCTACATCACCTCAAGCGTCAATCGATGTCGCGGGAGAGGCAGTGGTGAAGGCGATGAGTATGCGCACGTTTAATTCCCACCACTGATTAAGACAGGAAAGAAAGTGTGAAAAACGGGTGCTCACCTAACCTGACAACCACAGTTCACATTTGAGTCGACTGTAAAGTTGGGAGGAGGAATCTACTGCAGAGAAAGTATTTACACTCGGTTGGCAAAACCACACCAGTACTGTAAAAACGTCAAGCGCTTGCTGACAGACAACTCTCATTCTCACTATTGGAAGGATTGGAGAATGGGTGCCGGAGACTACCATCAACTTTGCGAGGTTCCTGTCATGCCTGCCTCACCAACATCGATCCGCAACCTCCAATTACGCCTTCTGACAGGTGGCAATCGTGAAATAAGGTGTCAGAACAAGCCCATCGCCAGACCCCTAGTCAAATGCTACTGGATTGCCTGTTTTTACCAGTTTGGTGGAGATTTTCGGTACAGCAGGTAGTCGTATTTGTTCCAGATGTGCAGGGCAAGTCGTGCTACCGTGAATAGCGAAAACGCGAGCCCTGAACACCGGACACGCTGAACCCCAGCTGGAAATGTCAGGCGCACGCATCAAGTGCTTAAGTGAAAACAACAAACATGACAACATATCTATCCACCAGCTGAAGTGAGTTCGGAGGCGGTGCTGTTATGCCCTATTTCTAAATGCTGGTTAATCGAATCAAACCTTGTTCAAACTCATTCAAAGCGCACTCTAAGCACTTACTAGTTAGTTATCCAAAGAGGAAACCCTGCAAAATCCATTAGGAGACAGATATTTTATCTCAGACAATAAATCTGGTTTAAAAGACTAAAACCGTCTGCAAGTTGCTTGTGGCGTACGATACTTGGCTGGGCTAGACGGTATCAAGCCCTTCACTACCCTTGCAGATACGAATTTCCCGCGAGGTCACAGAAATTTGACCTGCAGTTGCCTGGATGGATTGAATGATCGGTGCGCGAGATTTGCGTTCTTTAGTGGCAAATTCACCAATTCCACAACGGTTCTACGACAGTATTGCAGGGTAATCAGTAACTAGTCCTCGTAGTTTGACATCGCCTTCACCGGAAGATAGCAACAGTTAAAGAAAAGTTTACAAAAACATGTTCTATTCCAGCAGTTGGTGTGCAGGTGCCATAGCTCTTAAAATTTAACCAACTATGAGCACACTTGCCAGCACCCACGACAGAACGATATCGCGAGAGGTGCAGCGTTGAAGGCTCAAGAAATAACACTAAAGTGGGGGTTCTCATGTAATCACCATGGCTATTTTTAGAGTCCGACATTCGGAGATTCGTTCAAATTACTTTACGTCAAGCTCAGTCGACGAAATGGGGCCAAAACAATGATCAATCGGAAATAAAGCTGTGTTCCTTGCCCGATTTTGACAACGCAAATTAGCCAAGTAAAAACAGATTTCCGAATGCGACCATCTTCGCTAAGTTCATCAGAGATCTCCACTTAAGGCTACTCCAAGGTCGACTTTCCACCAATGAACGAATTAGCAGAGCGGAACTACATGGGTTACCTCACACTGCACAATATTCCTTACACAAGGCAACGGTAAACGGTCCTGTTCGTTGGTGATTGAATGGAAGGAATTGAGAATCGCAATTACAATTCCACAAACGAAAAACACAGGACTGCAATCGGAAGAACAACATTACGGCTTTGCAGCCAGCGATAGTGGAAGGAGGATGTCATATCGCCATAAGGCAGTACTCAAGACATGACTGAGCTTGTTCGCGTCACAACCAGGCTACGTGCCACACACACACACACACCTTATTTTGCTAAAAAAAAAAGAGCAACGCGACCACCCACACAAGGAGCCCTACCTGTGCTAACAACCGCTTTGATCAATTGCCTCAGCGACGATTCACGAGGTAAAAAAGCACGATATATTAAAAACGCCCAACCTGTGCGAGTTCCAGCTGTCGCCTTGCTTCGCACGCATCGGCCTCGGCACGAGCGTAATCGGACTCAAGTTTGGCCACGACGTCAACGGACGGGGGCTCGGCTACGACGACGACATCGGCGGCGGCAGCTGTCAGTTTCTCGACCTGGGCGGCCAGCCGGTCGGCGCGCTGGCGAGACGCCGCGGCCTCGGACAGGGCTGCGGACAGGTCCTGCGTCAGTCGGACGACCTGCGCCTGCAGTTCGCTGAGGGAGCACATGGCCGAGGTGCGCTGCTTCAGGATCGCGTCGGACAGGCGATGCTTCTCGGCATTCAGGTCCTAAAGGTTGGACAGATGACGCTTCACACGCTGCAGAATTTGTTTGTTGCTATGCTAGTCAATCAAGCCGATGAGACAACATGCAAAAACAGCCCTCAAGGCTGCTCAAGAGAGAGAGATGGAGAAACATAAAAAGCCATGGCGTGGATTATTTTGTAGACAACTGCGCACTAAAGACTAAGAAACAACACTGCTTGCGGACACGCCTAAACCGGTGACTTTTTAATCGCCATTCGTCACACAGCCGGAGGGCTGCGTTGAGAGAAGACTTTTTTGACAGGTGTGGAACAGAATCTCTTGAATGGAATTTCAGGAACTTGTAAACCACTGCCCAAGCATTCGGGTTTCTCCAATGTTGGGCAGATTCTTCCATCGTCATGTGGATCCCAATTTGACACGCTTTGGAGTAAAAAACAAGAGAGCGATCGGAGACGAGGCAACCATCTTGTCGGACTTTGGCGTTGAGGCACGCGTGTTGCAAACCTTTCATCAATTGAAACTAAATCTGGGCATTATTGACGAGCCTTTGGGCAAAAGCATGCTCATTTTAGAGTTTGGGAGCTCATGCACAACAAGATTGACATGCAAGGAAGACGCGAACATACACCGAATTGGAATTGAATGCTGGAGATGAGTCGAGCCTGTTTCCTGTCCTGATCTAGACGCTCAGCTTGCAGTCCAGTGAGCGCCGAGGCATACTCCTAGGCAGACAATCAATGAGAGGTGGGATAGGGGAACCGAAAAGTGGGGGGGGAGAAGGGGGCGGGGGGTTAGTTGTTTTCGCAAACCTGATTCCGCCCGTTGACAATCTCCAACTCCAACGTGCATTGCTGTAACTGAGCTTCAAGTTGGGCGTTGCGCAGACGGAGGTTGTTCAAGTTTGTGAGACTTAAACAGGAGAAAGAAAAAGAAGGAGTAAGACATTCTCGCACCTCGGGGGAGAAATTCGGCAAGATGGAAAATGCACAGGTGCACACACACACACACACACACACACCTATAAGGAGGATCATCAAATTACCGATTAATCGATCGGTGTGTCACAGGGGGTTTAACTAATACCGATGAAAAGACTTGAGAGGTAAACAACAACACGAAAGTGAAATTAAAATGGCAATTTGAAACTCGAAAAAGCATACTTGTTGCGGTTATTCAACTGTTGCTCCAAGCGGTTGGCTCGCAGGGTCTAGGGAGAGAAGCAGGAAGGTAAAACAGGCCTTTTCAAACTCTGATTTCTACAAACCATGGAGTCCCCACGTTGCAATTCAACTATCTGTGGTTTAGAAAGCACAGAACAGCGAGATGCCGTTGCAGAAAACCACTCAACTCGTTAAAAGTCCCGCTATTGCAATATCAATCGGCTTTAATTAGATCGATATCGAGTTGGTGATTAGTCGATGCAACATAACCAAGACCCCAACGACTACGGCGGCCGCAATAACCGCAGGAAACGCTTTCCTCTCGCCCAAAACAAAAGCCCCAGGTTGGAAAACGTTTTTTTTTGCTTAGATAAGCAGGTAGAGCACTTACCGTGAGTTCGGACTGTTGAAAGGCATTGGTGTTTTTCATTTGCTGCAGCTCCAGACTCACCTGATCCAGACGCGATTTGAGGTAGAGGTTTTCCTCAGTCATGACCTGTGCAGTGATAAGAGTGGGGCTTAACGAAAACATCGCAATTCCTGATTTCAAAGTCGTAGCAGGGTTTCCGTAAGCACCCATGATGAGTGAATTCACTGCCTGTTATGCGCAGTGCTGACTAAAAACCGAGGATGTCGACGCAGCTGACACAAACAAATCAATCAACAGTTGTCTCTAACTCTTGACAAACCAGGGGCTACACTTAAAGGTCAAGAATATGCATTCTCCAAGCAGTGCCAAGCAAAAACTACACGGGTGATGTGTGCACGGAGATGTGCGACTGCAACGTATCTGTGTGACGTCTAAGCAGTTGACCGGCGAAATTTACGCACTACTGACAACGCCACCTCGACAAAATAGGTAGTCACACAAACCATAATCTCCTTGGAGGATGGACGGGGCGGAAAGAAATTGGTGTGTTCCATTGCATTGGTCAGTTGGTTCCGCAGGTCTTCGGCTTCCGCTTTGACCATGATCAGCTGATTGTTGGCCTCGGTCTTCGTAGCAGTTAGTTGAGATCGAAGGCTGCAACAACTGAGATCAAGGGTCTACAAAGAAAAGACTACGCTTGACGAGACTACGTGATTGACGAGGGAGACATGTGCAGTAATTTAAAGCCCCTGGAATGCGGATTTCAGAGGACGTCAACAAGCCTTTCAACCAGTGTGTCAAAGCGCAGTTGAACGGCAGAAAAGTGGCGTCGTAAAACGAAATGTATGAGAAAGCCATGCTAATCTTCACTCTTTTAAAACCAATTTCACTAGCAGGTGTGGTAGGGATTTGTGCGCTGCTTATCCAAAGCCGGTTTAACAAGCACATGATGAAGCTGGAATCCATGGAAAAGGGAACACGTGAGGCAGTAGAGTTAGTACTTCGCGAGAACTTCATCCAAAAAAAAAACACGAAACGCTGAGCCTGGGGGACAAAATCCCTGAAAACTGCATTTACGGCGGCCTTCTTGAATCGGCTGACAATCGAAGTTGGCAATAATGGCAAATTCTATGGTTCTGTTGGTTTGATGGAGAAAAACGATTGCGCCTGGAGGTAATGACAGTTGCATAAGCCGAGGAAAAGCATAACTATGACGGAGATCATTCACGTTTGTCCTTGAAAGCCA